TTCATGGGTCTGGGGACGGGGCGTGGAAAAGCGTGAGGAGATGTTCCAGAAACTGGAATTAAAGAAGGGGAAAGAAGCCTTAAAAATCTAGAAACTGGGGAGGATGGAAGGCAGATGAATGGGAGTGAAAGAGGACGACAAATGAGACAGAAGGGATTTGGAAGGAAGTTCAGTGTGTGGAGGGAGAAATTGGTTTGGAAGGTAATGATATTCTGGAGGGCAGGGGGATGTGACAGCATCAGGAAACAGAGAATGTAAATAATTCATCTCACTTTTATTACACTGGTCTACAATTTTTGAGAAGTCATCTGCTTCAGAGATGAAATGTGCTATTATGTATTTTGATGTGCTGAATTCAAATATGACAATTAAAACAACTGGCTACTGTTTCTAAGATATTTAAGTTTTTACATTTTACGTCTATGTATATTGTGTAGAGTTTTAATCATAAATTGTAAACCTAGGTCTTTTTGTGTGTTTATGGTTGCTTTACATGATATTTCACCTGTCCTGTTTATGTAACACTTCAAAAATCAGCAAAAGGGTTATATAAATAAAATTTATTATGAAACAAAAGGCAAAAACTATTATTTACATAGTTTAGTCCTATTCAGTGTCTACTCGGCGCTTCTTAGCTTGTCTCTTGTACTCATTAAATGGAGCATCTCATCGCTGTCCAGCAATAGTCTGCAAGCATTGATGGGCTCCATTTGCCCTGATAGCGTTTCTCCATGTTGTCGTGCTCTTATTTGTCAGTGGGTTTTTTACCCATGAAAGCTTATGCCCAAATAAATCTGTTAGTCTTTAAGGTGCCACCAGACTTCTTGTTGTTTTTGTGGATACAGACTAACATGGCTACCCCCTGATACTTGATTGGCTACTGTTTCTAAGATATTTAAGTTTTTACATTTTATGTCTATGTATATTGTGTAGAGTTTTAATCATAAATTGTAAACCTAGGTCTTTTCATGTGTTTATGGTTGCTTTACATGATAATATTTCACCTGTCCTGTTTATGTAACACTTCAAAAATCAGCAAAAGGGTTATATAAATAAAATTTATTATGAAACAAAAGGCAAAAAACTATTATTTACATAGTTTAGTCCTATTCAGTGTCTATTCAGCGCTTCTTGGCTTGTCTCTTGTATTCATTAAATGGAGCATCTCTTGTCACTGTCCAGCAATAGTCTGCAAGCATTGATGGGCTCCATTTGCCCTGATAGCGTTTCTCCATGTTGTCGTGCTCTCTTATTTGTCAGTGGGTTTTTTACCCACGAAAGCTTATGCCCAAATAAATCTGTTAGTCTTTAAGGTGCCACCGGACTCCTCGTTGTTTTTGTGGATACAGACTAACACGGCTACCCCCTGATATTTGCATCTCTGTAGTCTATCTAGATTGTGTGCCCTTAATCTCTATTTTATTCAATATAAGTAGGCTTGGCAGAACTAGATTTTATTTTATTTTATTTTTTATAATTTTGACTATCAGTGTTTGTTTTTAAGGATTTTTTTGTGTTTTATATCCACATGATGAAAGGGGTGCATAACCAATGGAAAATCTTTCATTGACCTGTTCAACAGCAAGAGGTAAAATCTAACCTATGTGATAACGCTGAAGAATGATAGTGCTGTAATACTACTTATAATTATTTAATGATCATAGATCTAGAGATTTAAAAAGTTAAAACACAAATTGTCAACATCATATGTCAAAATATAAAAATAAATATCCTTAAATTAAACTCAGTGTTCTCAAGCAGCATTTTTCTTACTTTTGCCTTACTTATCATCAGTGGAAATATTTTTTTTGTCTGTTGTGTGGGTGAAATGATCTTCACCAATTTAAAAATCTAATTCTTCCAAGCCTAAATATAATTTAACAAATGAATTAATCCCATAAGTAAATTTACTGTTCATTGTAACGGATTATTTTGGGAGAAGAAGCTGTTAACCTCATCTTGTCAGCTTAGGTAAAGAACAGTCTTCAACCACTCTCTGAAGAAAAAGCCTTACACAAATGTATAAAGAAATACATAAGCCTGACTCTCTTCCCCAGTCTTCCCGTTTTCTTAAAGAAAAAAATTATTCCTGGATGAAAAATCTGTACTGGAAAAGATAGGTACAGTAGTTACTTTTTTAACACTTAAAATTTTATGCAAAGGTTGTCACCGCTCATTTAAACCCTAATGTTCGGGGATCTATTTTGTTCTAAAAATGTGGGCTGAGATCTTGGCCATTGAAGTCAGTGGGGCCAGGATTTTACTTTGATCTTTACTGAAAATTGGCATAAAAAGCCAAATGTTCTTAGAGAGTGGCAATGTCCTTACGTTGATGTCTACTTCTAATGTGATGTTACTGCTGCTTGGTACACAAATCATGCATTTATGCCTGCTGTTAAGTTTGTTTAGTCTGGGAAAGAGAACACTGGGATGTGATAGTTTTTATGTATGTAAAAGATTGTTATAAAGAAGTGTTAAATTGTTCTCCTCATCCACTGAGAACAGCGCAAGCACTAAGGGTCTTAAATTGCAGCAAAGGAGATTTAGGTTAGACATTAGGAAAAACTTTGTAATTGAAAGTGTAGTTAAGCATTGAAACAAATTTCCTAGGGAGGTTGTGGAATCTCTGTGGTTGGAGGTTATGAAGAACAGGTTAGACAAATACTTGTCAGGGATAGCCTAGAATACTATTTAGACTTGACTCAGTGCCAGGGACTGGACTAAGCGACCTATAGAGGTCCGTTCCAGTCTCCCATTTCTGTGCTTCTGTGTGGATATTTGCCCACCCACTCACTGTCCTGTCATGACTTAATTAGCTGAATGGGTTTTGCTCAGATATTAAATCACTCAGTTGGTAGTGAGAATGGACTCAAAGGGGGTTACTGATCTATCCAAATGAAGTCACTTGTCTTTATTATATATACTATTCTGCTATGGATCTTAACATCTTTTTTAAAAAACTTTTGGTGGTTAACTGATCAGTAAGGCTAAGATTTTTGTCATGGATATTTTTAGTAACAGTCACCGACAGGTCATGAGCAATAATAAAAAATTCATGGAAGCTGTGACCTGTCCCTGACTTTTACTAAAAATATCCATAACAAAATGGGGAGCCTGGGCATCTGCCGTGGGCTGGGAACTCCAGGGGCCCCCTCCGCTGGTGGCTCCAGGCAGCAGGGCCACCCCTTGCTGCCCGGGTTGGCAGGGAGCAGCAGGGGTCCTTCTCCTCCCCCCCCTCCCCCTTCCGACCTGGGAGTGGCAGGTACCCGGCAGTTCTATGCTTCCACAGGTGATGGGACCCTGCAGCTCCCAGCCGGCGCTGGCTGAAGTCACGGAGGTCTTTGGAGGTCACGGAATCTGTGACTTCCCTGCCCTCCATGACTAAATGGCAGCCTTATTGATACCTCTGGAATTCAGGGTTCATATCACACTTTTAAATTGATATGTATTAAAACTACCCAGTGTACTCACCTGTCAAAGATGACGACATGAACTGTCACTTGAGTTGAGAATCTAGACTTGATGAAGTCATTGTTGCAACTTTTTATTGGTATGGGAGCTTTTTTTCGTATAGTCTGTAGTATTCAAATTTGTTCCAACCACTTAGTTCCAAATGATGGCTTGCAATTTGAAACATACCACCATTGCGACTTGAATGTGGTGGAAACTACACCCCTCTTCTGCCCACCAAAATAATCCTAGCATTAGTTTGTCTGGATTTTATTCTGTTTTGAACTGTTTGATTAGTACTTCTTAAATGGAAGACATGACAGTTGTGTTTTCTTGAGAAGAAAGGCATGATAAATCTGCTAAAATAATGCTGTTTAACAGGGTGAATGGATAAGTTGTTTCTCAGCAACATCTAGTAAAACCAAAATACTTATAAACATCAAACACCTAATCTTGCAGCAACATGGCAAGGACAGCAGTTATCTTGTGCATCTCTTCAATTTTGGTTAAATTTTTGACTTTTTAGAAAATTTTTAACTAAAATTGAAGAGATGCACAAGATAACTGCTGTCCTTGCCATGTTGCTGCAAGATTAGGTGTTTGATGTTTATAAGTATTTTGGTTTTACTAGATGTTGCTGAGAAACAACTTATCCATTCACCCTGTTAAA